CAGATAGACGAGTCCGAGTAGCGCCATCTCACTGCGGAGCTGAGTCCCACCTGGTTTTTAGACGTACAGCGTGAGCAGGTAGATCGCATCAGAGCGCCGTGATGAGGAAACCGCAGAGGCTCGTCGTACAGTTTGAGCTGTAGCTGCGTGCAACGATTGAAAATGTTGCGCAGTTTACGCCCGGCTTGTGTTGCAAAACATAAGGTCACAAAATATAGTTTGATTTCAAACAGTGCACACTGTTAGTGCTTCTGCAATTGTCCTAATTTGTTTAGTTTTGCTAACTATTAATGCGGCAAAGAAAAGGTGAGTCGGTTCGTCATCCTATCGGCTCTGATGGAGGCGGGGGACGGTTAATGGAGTCGCCTCCCTTACCGTGAAAACGAACCCCACCGTATCCAAGACATTCAACGCAAAGATGTCCGTTTGAGTCCAACGTGTCCGCGGTCTGGGACTGAACCTCTGCGTGTTTTCTTTTAAGACTCCTTCTGTTTGATTCGGCGGGAAGCAAGCAGGGCGGACGTTTAACGCAGTGGAACGCCGTCTTTAGGATACAATCGCTGGACTGCAGGGTTGGAAGTTGCTCCTGGATTTTTGTTTTCCAGGATTTCTCCATGTTTTTTTTTCCGGCTGGGAGAAACTGTTTTTTCCAGGTTCTTTTGGAAGAAAGTTGGAAGGTCAAATTTACTGGAAAGTAAAACCAGGGTGGTTTGGGGTCATAAATAGCAGAAGAAATGAAAGAAAAAAGAACAACAGCCGGTGTTAAATGGTAGGAAATAGTTTTCCTACCATTTAAAGGTTATCAGTAGATGATCACTTCTGTATTAAATACGTAATTCCCTGATGGGTTTTCTCTGGTGAATTTGGTGGGTAGTTGACTTTTTAATGGAACTATCCCAGTTCTCCAAAATATGATCCATTACCAGGAATTTCTTCCAGTTTCTACTAATTTTCGGGACGAAATCTGTTTCTTCCAGAAGAAACTAAACCCTGCTGGACTGAATGTTCATTACTGATATCTGTAAACGGAAGACATCTCTCTATAACTGTAGTTCTGACTATCCAGGATGATGGTAATGATATCAAGGATGTGAACTTACTAATTAAATGTAAAAGTGGCTTGCCATATAAATGGATCATTGGTGACGCGGCGCTGAAATGTCCAGCAACCGCTGCCAGGCGAAGCGTTAGCCATGACGGTACAGCTGTTAGGGTTAGTTTTTCCATTATTTATCGTTTATTCAGGAGACGCGGCAGATTTTAGAAACTGAAAATTATGGGGCCAAAATTGTTGCTTTATTATTTACAAATGTGTGTGGAGAGTTGTATATCTGTATCTCGATTTGTAGATCTGAAAACAGATTTGTGGATTTTTTACACATTTGCAAACCAGATTACACACACACAAGTAGTTTTGCACATTTGCAGATTGTTGTACAGACACATAAATCTCCTCACACATTCACAGTTTAATTTACACATTTTCAAATCCCCCTGCACACATCGAGATACAGATACACAACTCTCCACACACATTTGTAAATAATAAAGCAACAATTTTGGCCCCATAGAAAAAGGGCAAAATAAAGGCAGCTTGAATGGTCTGGCTGTTGACTTACGGTATTTGTGTTTTTATCTAAAGACTGTTGAGACCAAAGGTTCAAAAATGATTGAACAAAGGTCAGGTGTCAAAGTGGAGCCCATGGGTCACAGGGCATTACGCTGATGCTACAAACCACAGGATGGGCTGAGAGGCGTTTATGGCTGAAACAATCAGATTAATCCATTATCGAAATAATTGTGAACTAATTTAGTAATCAATCAATCTTTACGTGGATTTTAGAGACTGTAAAACGAGCCTTTAGCTGACAGAGCGAACCACTTAGAACAGGAATTATACCAAGATTTTAATAATTTTGTATTTAACATTAAATAAATAAATAAATAGTCTGTCAATCTGCTCTCTCCAGAACTCCTCAAGTGGAAAAGTTTTAGTTTCACCCGACAGATTAATCGATTTGCTAAATATTAATTTCTGCCCTATTGCCGCATCCGTGTATTCCAGGTTTGATGGTTAAAATCTTTTATTTAAGGAGGTCTGTAGTTATATCTTAAGAAAAGGGGAACATTTCTGAAGTCCAGTGACTTAATTAAAGTTTATTTAAATTTGAAGCTTTAAACGTCTCCGTCTTCTTTAACATTTAGCTCTGAAGTTCATAAACTAAACCTCTGGATAGTCAAAACTTCAACTGTCTGTGTGAGGGACCAAACTTGAATAAGGTCTAAAGGTGTTCAAAAATAAAAAAATAAACTTTCATTTAATAAATGGTAAATGGCATGTGCTTATATAGCGCCTTTATTCAAGTTAATTCAATATTGTCAAAATAATTGACAAAGGTTCAAAGGCAATACAAAATAACTTAAATAATTATTAATAACATGGATTTAGGCCGAACTCAACTGAGGTCGACCGAACAGTAAGTCACTGATAAAGAACAGAGGCTGCTTTAAATAGGGGGGGCGTAACGTAAACTTTCCACATGAGGGAGGCACAATTTAGATTAAAAAATATCCATACAAAACTAAAACATAATAAACAAATAAAACAACTACTTAACTTAGAACAAATTAGTGAATATTAAGGTGACAAAATAACAAAAGTCCACTTAAACAAATCCCCCCCCCCCTCTGTTCTTTGGGAAGTGGTATGTTCCTGGCTGCTTCCACCTCCAGCTGATCTGTATTTGTAGAACCTCAAAGAAAATAATGAGTGTGAGTTAAACTATTCAGACATTAACTAAATGTGCACCCATTAGAAAATATAGATCTAAATGGAATAAACTGAATCTGGAACTAAATACGAATAACTGGAGCTAGAAGGATCCACCAGTCCGGTTTGGGGTTTTTTGTTTTTTTAGCAACTTTGCTGCATGTTTTAAAGTTAAACTTGTGTTTCTGTTTCCAGCAGATGTTCAGAGATTGGAGGTGATGAAAGAGAAGGTTCCTTGGAGCCCGAGTCAGGATCAGCAGAACCCAGAACCGCTCCACATAAAGGAGGAAGAGGAGGAGCTCTGGATCAGTCAGGGGGAAGGTTATCTTTACGGGCTGGATGGGAACGAGCACGGCCGACTCCCGCTAACTGTTGTAGTGAAGACCGAGGATGAGGAAGAGGAACCTCAGACCTCACAGCTTCATCAGAGCCGAGCTGACGCAGGAGAAGCTGAGCGTCCGACCAGCAGCTCCTTCAAATGGATCAAAACAGAAACTGATGGAGAAGAGTGGGGGCGACTGGAACTGGTGAGGAAACCAAGCGCTTCAAGACCAAAGAGCGGCGCCGAGGCTTTGAACTCTGAGCCGGAATTCAGCGACGATGATGAAGATTGGCGGGAACCTTTGTCAGAGAATGACTCTGGCTGTAAGGGAAGAGCAGCAGAGTCGGGGCTAGGCGGCGATAACGGCGCTGTCAAAAAACCCTTCAGCTGCTCAGAGTGTGGTAAACAGTTTCTATACAGGCAGTCTCTGAAGAGACACATGAGACGCAACATAGAAAAAAGCTCCTCCAACTGTTCAGCCAATCAGAAATGTTCTGACGTTAAACAAAACGCCAATTCAAAGACCAAAGTCCACACAGGCAAGAAAAACTTCAGCTGTGATATGTGCGGCAAAACATTCAGAGATCATTTCAGTCTGAAATCTCACATGAGAGTCCACTCGGAGGAAAAGCCCTTTGGCTGTGAAATTTGCACCAAGAGCTTTAAGCATGAGCACAATCTGAAGATTCACATGAGAATCCACACCGGAGAGATGCCGTTTAGCTGCGAGGTTTGCGGTAAAAGATTCAAGCATCAGCACAATCTGAAGACGCACATGAGAATCCACACGGGGGAGAAACCTTTCGTGTGCGACATCTGCGGTAAAAGAGCGAGACACCAGAATAACCTGAAGACCCACATGATCGTCCACAGAGGGGAGCGACCCTTCGGCTGCGAGCTTTGCGGTAAAAAATTCAACCGTAAAACCAGCCTCAGGGCGCACATGACTGTCCACACCGGAGAAAAACCGTTTGCTTGTGAGATCTGTGGTAAAAGCTACAAACGCAAAACACACCTTCGGACTCACATGACCGTCCACAACGAAGAGAAGCCTTTTGGCTGCGAGGTCTGCGGTAAAAGGTTCAACCGTAAAACGCACCTCGGGACGCACATGGCGGTCCACACCGGCGAGAAGCCTTACAGCTGTGACTTCTGCGGTAAAAGATTCACCCGCAAAACGCATCTAGATTCCCACATTACGGTTCACACGGGAGAAAAACCGTTCGGCTGCGCCGTCTGTGGGCAGGAGTTCTCCCAGCAGGGGAGCTTAAACCGACACATGACGTTACACTTAGGATAGAAACGCAACTAGAAGCTGGAGGTCAAACCTGAAGCTAACTTCACCTCCGTTACTGAGGTGGCCTGACTTTGTTGTACAACTTTGTTTGGATTTTGACTTTATTAACTACAAGTATGAATGTTATAACTCTTAACTGCCAGAGAGTGCAGCAACTATGAGAATCTTATTTTGGTACTTTCTCCCTTGGTTGATGTTTAGAAACACTAAGTCAAATTTTCTTAATGTTGATACCGGTCCTGATTTCAGTCACATTTCTAAGTTTTAGGACCTGATTGTTTTATTTTCTATTTTTCTTATGCTGTTACTAATCATTGGAGGCATGATATGCAAAATGAGCTTTAAAGGGTCTGCTATCCGTATGCAGCCAGCACCTTAAGGTATTTAGTTCAGTCAAGCAGCACTACTCTAACAGGTCAAATCTGAAATTCAAACCAAAATAATCGGTTAAAGATCAGAGATTAGCATTTTAAGACGGCGGCTGTCAAAGTGGAGTCAGCTGGAAACGTCGTCTTTCCTTTCTGGGTGAATTAAGTTCCTGATTTATAAGCTTTTGCACTAGTTTAGTTCAGGATTATCCAGCTGAGAAAATGACTGAGCCTAACAGGCACTTGTATGTATTCATATCCATCAGTTATTATTTTCACATACCTTTAATTATCAGCAGATTATGACCAAGTGTGTTTATAAAAAAAAGTCAGATAATGGAAATCTATAGCTGAGAAAAAAAAAGTTGTATTTGATTTAAATAAACTTTGTTTTTCTAAAAAACAAAAAAAAGTCTATTTTGTAATCTGTTTGGATAAAATAATTAATATTGTCCTTAAATGTGTGCCACTAAATCCACCAAATGTTTCATCGGTGAAAAACGCATAGCTTCAGAATAAATGTTCATATATATATATATATATATATATATATATATGAAAGTGTGTCATTTTAAATAGTTTTTTATAAGAAATATTTTTTCTGTGTTCAGCACCTATTTATTCATGTCCCTAAAGGCATAGATAAATTTATACTTTGCAAAGTGTTAGCTTAGTGAGTTAGAGCAGTGCACTTGTGCTCTGAGAAGGTTGCAAGTTGCTGGTTTGATTCCCACAGCTTCCACTCTGGTGACAGGAAGTAAATTAGGTAAAGACGTCATAGAGCCTCTCAGGACAGCGAATAGCGCCTTTTCCTGCTGAGGAGAAAACACTGACAGTCTGACTGAGGGATAAACACTGATATATATTTAAGAAACTCCTATTATAACTACCTTAAAATGTATTCAGATGGTTCTAAGAATTTAAAAGGACATATTGGAAAAGGAATTTAAATACCAGTTTGAAATATAAATCTCTAAAAGAATATCAGATCAACTGTCTGTTTTGACAGCAGAAATATACTAAGCTTACAGTCTGTAGACCAGACAGGCTGGTGGTCTGTGCAGATTCCCTGGAAAATATTCAGAGAGAAGAAAAATTATAGAAAAGATTTAGTATTAGACATTAAGCACATTCTATTTAGATCATCTAGGGGTGGCTTTGATATTTGCTTATGTTGGGTTCCAGCACATAAAGGTGTAAAAGGCAGATATATTAGAAAAAAGGCTTTAGAGGGAATAATAATCATTACAATTCCTGTTGAGAAAGGGGAAGAAAAATCATTTATTAAGAGTAAAGAAATGGAAAAATGGCAAAAGAGGTGGAACGAAGATAAGAAAGGAAGAAGATTATATAAAGTACAAAAATCAGCATTAAATAGAATCATTAATGAGAGAAACAGAAGGTAAGAAGTAATAATGAGATTAAGAGTGACTCAGACCTATTTAAATGACAATTTATATTTAATAGGGAGGAAAAATAATAAAAATGTGAAGGATGTGGATTAAAAATGTAGAACAGCTACTGATGAACAAACATGAAAAATAGAAACTGAGAAGGATGGTTGGAAGGACATGATAGGAACAGAGTCTTAATAGAATATTGGGAAATGAAGGAAATATAAATGATATTAATAGATTAAGGAAAGCATAAATTATTTATCTACAGAATACAATAAAAATAAAATATATTTTTTTTTTTTTTTTACTGAATTTGATGTAAAGTATGAGTGTGTAGTTGCTACACACTCATATATGCAGTAGGTGGCGGTATGCAGCTTAAAGCTGCTGGCGATCCACCAGAATAGAAAAGAAGAAGAAGAATCTGACGTCACTGCTAACAATGGCTGCTGAGGAAATCTGCACCGAGGCTGAAAAAAACATCCTAGGTTACAAAGAAGACGTCAGACTGCTGGGAATCTACTGGAAACCGCAGATTGAACTCCAAAGAATCGGTAAAAATCTAAAACCGTATGATAAGTTTAATTTTCTGCTCTGAGCTGCTAGCTTAGCAACACGAAGCTGAAGTCTGCTTCTTATTTAAACCACTGCGGTGAAACTAGTCTTAGAAAGATGGATGTTGTTGTAGGTTCAGGTGCTTCAGCCTCGTGTCTCTGCCGGGTCAGGTTGACTGGTTTCAGGCAGCAGGTCTCTGACTCGTTTCAACTCGATCCACTGCGGCCATCTGAAGTTAGCTTCCGAATTGTTATAAAGGGCCATTCCGCCTTTTTTCTTTCCTCAGTTTGTCGTTTTTAATGTCTTCTTATTCAAGAACTGCAGGATTTAGACAGTTAAAACCTGGATTATATTATTCTGCAGTAACAACAGAAGAGCTTTATGACAGCCCTATAATTTTTATTTCTATTTTTTGTTTCCAGGTCAGCTCAAACGCTGCAGCATTTAGACACTTCAGACCTTAATCATATTAACCCACAATAACAGCAGGACCCTTTAAACCCACTTTGAGATTTGTGAAAGCGATATCTGACTATTGAATATTTACTATGTTTTTTATTTATTTTCCTATCCCTGGTAGGGCTGAAATAATTAAGCAGAAGCAGCTGGTTTACATGCAAAAAGTCAAAGGTTGACGCGCATCCAGGCGCGGCAGAAGGTCCTGCAGCGTCTAGAGCAGCAGCAGCAACAGGAGCAGCGCCTCATGAGCATCTGAGGCGCTTCATTTATTTTAAAGAGCAAGAAAAACTTTGACAAATTTCACAGATCTCTCTCACTGCCCGAGCGGCTTCTAAACCGTCCCGCAGGTTTTATTGCTGCATTTTCTTTGCTTTGGGGCTTTGCTAAATAGCTGCGTTTGATTTTGTTTTTTTCATTTGTTCATTTTAAAAACGTTTCATCATCTGTCCAAGTCAAATGTGAGAAATTGTTTTACCTTGTGTGGCACAGAGACAGAAGTAAAAAAAAACAAACAAAAAAAACCCAAAGCTGCAAAGATCTGCTCACCCTGCGCAGATGGAGCCTCTCTTTACGCAGTCGGTGTGACCGGACCTTTACTCAGATCATTCTTTTAAATTATCTTTAAAAAAAAAAAAAGTTTAATTCTCTATGGAAGTAAAACCACCTGATTCAGGATGCAGTCCTCCTGGGTGAGCATGTGGCGACAGACATCCCTGTGGATTGTCTTTTTTTAAATCATTTTAGTTGAAAATAAGGAAACGTTTTTTTTTTTTTTTTCAGATTTTGGATTTCTGTTGGAAAACCAAATTCGAATGTTCAGCATGTAGACGGACCAATTAGGACGGCTCTACTAGAAGGACTCTATGATCCCGGTATTTTAGCATTAAAAAACAACAAGCTGGAAAGTAAAGTGATCATAGCCCTGAGAAAGTAAAAATTGTGTGTTGATCTGTCATTGTTAAAGGTAAAGAGGAGGATCTTTTATTTCCGGGTGGATCATCTCAATCAGTGGTCCTCCTAACTGTCAATCATTCTGGTGATATGTTTACGGTCGTCCTACGTGCTCTTCCCGTTAGCTAGCCTTTTCTGCGCACTTTCAGGCGTATATCTGTGGTTAGCTACGGTTTCATTAAAGCTCACCTTTCTCAGTTTCTTTGAAAATGGCCGAGAGTCGGAAGAGAAAAGGCGTCTACAAAGTTTATGAGAAGAACTCTCCTCGCAAAGCATTATGGGATTTGCTGTCACATTTAGCGCAGGCCAGATTATGATCTGAGCCCTAAATCGGACCACAATCTGTTTCCCATATGGAAGTTAAGATCCAGGAAATCAACATTTTTATTGAAACCCTCCGCTTCACTTTCCACTAGCAATGAAACAGAGGCTAATTATAATCATGATGTTTTGTTCCCTACAGAACTCCAAAAGCCACATGTCTCCAATGAGGAAGAAACTCTGACCGTCCAACAGCTCTGTAACCGGGAGAGGAGGTCCAGTTATGACCAGGAGGAACTAGTACCTCCATGGACTGAAGAGGATCAGATGGAACCAGATAAACCATCTCCTCCTTTTAAAGAACTGCTGGAACCAGAACCTCAGTGGATTAAAGAGAAGGAGGAAGAGCTCCTGCTTATTAAAGAAGAAAATATGGAACCCCAGGTTACCTGGGCTAATGAGGAGCAGAAGGAGCCAGAGTTTCTACCCATTAAACTGGAGGAACCAGGACCTCCATGGATTAAAGAGGAAGAACCCCCAGAGACCTCGCTTATTAAAGAAGAAAATGAAGAACCCCGTGTTTCCTGGGTTATTGAGGAACAGAAAGAACCAGAGTTTCTACAGATTAAAAAACAGGAGGAACCAGGACCTCCATGGATTAAAGGAGAAGAGAAAGAACAATCACTGTTTAAGCTAAAGGAGGAACCAGATTCTTTCCTGCCTAAACCTGAGCAAAGCATAACCGAATGTTCCCCACCTAGACTGGACCTACACTGCAGACAGGAAGACCAGCTGCTTCTTCAGAAGCAGTCCATCACTTTTATGGAGACTTTTACTCCTCAGGAAGAGGATTTGAGTAAAAATGAACCAAGAACTCAGCAGCATTCCTTTCATATCCCTCCTATAGCGGAGACAAAAGATCAGGAAGAAAGTTGCTCGTCTTTGTCAGAGAGTCGCTGTCAAACCGACAAAAAGACTTTCAAATGTGATATTTTTGGAAGATCATCTAAGACTAAATATAACATGAAACAGCATTACAGAACCCACACGGATGAGACATGTACTTCATGCGAGATGTGTGGGAAAAGTTTCTCTCAGATTAGTCATTTAAATGCTCACATTAAAACCCACACTGGTGAGAAACCTTTTTTATGTAAAACATGTGGAAAAAGTTTCTCTCGAATAAGTAATTTAAACGTTCATATCAAAACTCACACTGGTGAGAAACCTTTTTCATGCAAGAGATGTGGAAAATGTTTTTCACGGAGAAGTAGTTTAAATGTTCACATCAGTACCCATACTGGTGAGAAACCTTTTCCCTGTAAGACTTGTGGAAAATGTTTCTCTCGAAAGAGTAACTTAAATGTTCACATCAGAAACCACACAGCTGAGAAACCTTTTCCATGTAAGATTTGTGGAAAAAGTTTCACCCGAATGAGTCATTTAAATGTTCACATCAGAAACCACACAGATGAGAAACCTTTCCAATGTCAGACATGTGGAAAACGTTTCTCATATATTAGTCAGCTTAATAGCCACATTAGAATGCACACTGGTGAGAAACCGTTTATCTGCAACACATGTGGGAAACGTTTCTCTCAGATTAGTCATTTAAATGTTCACATCAGAAACCACACAGGTGAGAAACCTTTTACTTGTAAGATATGTGGAAAAAGTTTCACTCAGGTTAGGATTTTAAATATTCACTTCAGGACCCACACAGGTGAGAAACCTTTTACATGCAAGACATGTGGACGAAGTTTCTCTCAGTTTGGTCATTTAAATAATCACATGAAAACCCACACTGGTGAGAAACGTTTTACTTGCAAAACATGTGGAAAACAATTCTCCCGAACTGACAATTTAACGAATCACATCAGGACTCACACTGGGGAGAAACCTTTCACATGCAAGACATGTGGAAAAGGTTTCTTTCGGATTGGTCGCCTAAATGCTCACCTCAGAACACACACTGGTGAGAAACCTTTTCCATGCCAGACACATGGAAAAGGTTTCTCTAACTTAGTCATTTAAATGTTTGCGATGTTCAATGTGAAAATTGTTTCTATGTGAGACGTGGGAAGCTGAGTAATTTAAATATTCACACATGGCATTATGTAAATATGAAATAAAGCTTCATCGACACTGGCATACTGAAAAGGTCCAGCCTTCTCCAGCCTCCTCCAGCCTCCACCCCCGCACTCAACGTATGCTCTGTTGCTTAGCAACCGTGCAGTCGACACACAAACTTCTCACGACTATTCTGGGTGCTAATATTTTCTGAGGAGCTTCAGCAGCAGTCCCATCGTCTGAGATATCAGATTTCTAGTCCCCATACTCCACAGATATTAGAATCTGAGCTTAAATGTCAGCCAAACCCATTTAAACAGGGACAGATAAATCCTTTCAATAAACCAAACATTACCGCCACATATCTGAATCTATAACCATTAAAACAATTATTTTCATTCATTTCACAAAAAAACAATGCACTTCCTTGGATTATATCAAACTGCACTTCCAATATTCCCCACTGTTGGGCGCCATTTCTCTTTTTCCTCTAAGAACAGCAGCTGGCTTGCTTGGACTCGCAATGAATCATGGGATATCCAAAGTTACACAGGATACAGCAGACCTGTTCTTCAAAACGGGCAAAAAGGACGTAATTAATTTTTTGTTATTGTTGCACTTCTCTGCATTCATCCTTTCTGTGTACATTTTTAAGGAGGCTTAGTTTTATACATTGAAAATGTTTGTTTTAAGTGAAGATGCATGTTTCTCTTTATTCTTGTTTTAAAAAGAGCTTTTCTGCTCTATGTTGCCTTCTTTTCAAATAAAAAAATGAAGAAGGCTGCATTTGTTGGCTGTTTAATGAGGAGTCTTCCAATCCAAACAGCCAGCGGTGCTGCGGTATGACGTAATCAGCCGACGAATCTGGCCTTCGGACACAGGCTGCTGAATTTGAACACAGCATCTGTCTCCCTTGCTGAGAATCTGACAGGGAGACCGGAGGACTGTACCGATGCCTGGGGACAGGATTGGAGCGAGAAGAGAGGAAAGGAAAGTTCTGAGCAGAGGGCTCCGACAGATGCCTCTTTTAGATATTAAAGGAATAGTACACCCAAAACATGATTAGCCTTCATTTTCTACTCACCCCCATGCTGAACAACACTCTGGAGTACTTTTTTGATATCTCAAATGCATCTGGAGATCTGGGAGGCTTCTTGCTGTCTGCTGACATTCAAATAATGGAGGTCTATGGCGCCCGAGGCAGAAAGGTCCATAAAAGTCCACAAAAAACGTGTCAATATTCCTCCATACTGCTCGTCCAATGTATTCCAAGTGTCCTGAGTGGGTAGCATCCAGAATTTACTGGAAACGAAGTCATTTAGAATGTTTTTAGAGCATAAACAGTAGTGTATAGGATTTCCTGAAAGCGCGTTCACGACGCTACGGAAACCGCGGCAGACCAAACCAGATGAAAGTGCGCATTCAGCTCGGCAAAGAACTCATGCTCTTCCTCAACACTGAAGTCCTCAGACATTTTTCTTTCGTTGTTTCTTTCTTTGCACAGGTAAACAGCACATTTCTTCTTCTACGCTTGCATTATCGGCAGAGCAGACGCTGAATGCGCACTTTCGTCCGGTTTGGTCTGCCGCGGTTTCTGTAGACTCGTGAACGCGCTTTCAGGAAATCCTATACACTACTGTTTATGCTCTAAAAACATTCTAAATGACTTCGTTTCGAGTAAATTCTGGATGCTACCCACTCAGGACACTTGGAATACATTGGACGAGCAGTATGGAGGAATATTGACACGTTTTTTGTGGACTTTTATGGACCTTTCTGCCTCGGGCGCCATAGACCTCCATTATTTGAATGTCAGCAGACAGCAAGAAGCCTCCCAGATGCATTTGAGATATCAAAAAAGTACTCCAGAGTGTTGTTCAGCATGGGGGTGAGTAGAAAATGAAGGCTAATCATGTTTTGGGTGTACTATTCCTTTAATATAGCTAAATCTTTTGTATTTACTATTTTGCTATGCTAAGGGATTTTTATTTTTATTTTAATGATAATCTAAATGAACATTTTCAAGCCAAAAATAAATATTTTCAGAAGATAAAGTTTTAGTGAAATCTAATTTAATGGAAATTTCTCTTCATGCAGCTCTTTTAATGTATTTGAATCCCTCATCCTGTTTTTTTTTTTTTTTTTTTTTTTTTTTTTTGCTTCATGCTTTTCTGTTTCCCTGCGAATTTCCCTCTTTAAAAAAGTACATTATTTAAGTCATACCTTTGTCATTTAAGGCTGTAACATACAGAATGATCATGGATATGAAAGCAAAGTACTGCTTGTTTTGGTAAATTGTGGAAATAAAAGTTCAGGCATAGGAACCTTTAGCTGGGTTCTTTGTTTAAAGGGGATGTAAATAGTGGTTGAGCACAGATGGCTGGAGTTTTCGGATTCGTGTTTATTTTATTTACAGAATTTGATCTTAGAGGCTGTAAATTGTTTAAATCCCAGCAGATTTCAGTCTGACTGAGGAAGGAGGCTGGATGAGGAGGAAATAAAGGTCAGATTAAAGATGAGCCTTTTTATTCTGCCTGAAATCACTGATTAAAATGGAAACAGATGCAGACAGAACACCTGAATGAACCCTTTATGCAGCCTGACCTTCATTTATTATCAGACTTTGTTCCTTTAAAGGAATAAAAACGATGCCTGAATAAAATTCCGACTGACTTAAACAATCTGTTGGTCATAAGTGGTTAATATTTTCAAATATATTAAATATAACAAATATTTTACTAAATATTTATATTCTTAACAGCTGAATTTTTCAGTAAAAATTTACAAGAAAGTCACTCAACTGCTGCGTCAACCGGAAGCTGCTGCCGTACGTCAAAGAGTCCGCCATATTGGGAAGGGTAGAGCAAACGTCAAATAAATAAACATCGTTGAAATGATCATAGAGGATACCGCTTTATGAACAGATTATTATTAATAATAATATTAGATGGATGCAGGCATGTAACCGACCCTATAGAGCAAGAATAAACTTCAGGACTTTTATTTTAAGTTTGTCATGAAGTTGATTTCAAATTACCTGAAAAAGTGTCAATTAGCGATGATTAATGAGGGATAATGAAGCCAAACTATTGATGCGGCCTTGATGAATACTGACACCTGCTGGACATTTATGGACACTACAGGCAGCTGATTGGACAGAATAAACTGAATTAATTTAATGACCTAGAACAATGATATAAGATACTGTAGATTATTATAATGTATTGTTTCGTATCTATGTTTAAATTGAAAATGTCTTTGATCTTTTTAGATATATAATAATTTTAACATTTATCATAATGTGAAAATTTAGGTGGAAATGTGAATGAGGATGCTGGACCAGGATTTTAAATCATATTTTTAAAACGACAAGTACAGTCAATAAATATTTGAATTTACCTTTCATTCAGATAAGTTGAGTGGGCTTCATGCATCAGGGTTAATGGACCCATCACTGCTGCTAACTTTTAAAAAGACTAATAAGCAGATTCTTGACTAATTAGTTTTTATTATATGTATATATATATATATATATATATATATATTATATTATATGCACCTCTACGTGTGACTAAGGTGTGAATTGAGTTTATGTTGGGGTTACCTATGAACCTGTAATGGTTAGATTTAGGGCACTTCTAACTAGTGTTGCGCCGATGCCATTTAGGTTTAACAAAATCTCTTAAGTTTTCTAAACCTGAAAACGGGGAAACGGACTTTTCCGTTTCACAAAGTGAGTTCCCTAAACCTCTGTTTCTGTTGCCATAGTAACATCCTCCCAGAGCTAACCTGGTCAGCAGCAGGTTTCCTTCAGTAAACTCTGTGTCCTCCGTCTCCACTCTCAGGAAAGGAATTACTTTAGAATTAGGATTCACTCGATAACAAGCTAATGATCCTACTGGCACAATCTGAAGCCATTTTATGGGACTGATAGCCGCTAATTATGGCCATTTATTGGGATGATAACATCAGAAGCAGCAAACAGCCACTTATTTACTGTGGAAAAGACAGAATGAAGATGAGGAGGAACCCATGAGATGATGAACAGGTTCCATCTATTAGAACATCGTTTTTCTCCTTTATCCTCACCTGCTGCCAGAAGATTTCACCTAAATAGATACATCTACTACGCTTCACAAAATAAGCCTGTAATATTTTCACAGCAACAGTTATGGCAAGCCATTTTGATATGTACTAGTTTTACTGAATATGTATTCCTAATATCTGAAAAAAAAAAAACATTTCTTTCTTGTCTAAATGATTTCAAACAAATAAACCTGCTTGATGACAAACCGCTGACAACTGAAAAGTTAATGTAATTTTATGTCAGCTGATCTTTTTTCTTAATGTTTGTCCTACTTGAAGATGTCAAATACCAAAACTAAATGAAAGAAGAGGTTTCCTGGACCATTAATTTGGACCATCAAACATTAGAGCCACCAAAGAAGAGGAACTCTGAGTCAGTCAGGAGGAAAAGCAGCCGAACAAGGACCTAAAGATGGTTATCAATAAATTCCATTTTACAGTCGTGACTTTGAAAAACAATAAGAGAGAAATCTGTTTTCTGAGCTTTTTCCAAACAAAGCTGAAGGCAGCAGAGAATCAGGACTTCTTTCCAACAAAATAACTGAGAAAATAAAAAACAGAAAGGGATGAAGAGGACTGTGAGGGCTGGAAGCTGCTAAAGATCCTGATCCACCTTATCCCAGACATCCAAAGATGGATGAAAACCTCTAAGATTCTTCCAACTCTACAATAACTGAAAGCAGTGATGATGAATATTGGCAGAAATGTTCCGATTCTGAGCCTGAAATTGAAGAAAGAAACCATGATTCATGGGCACCAGTTTCCGCAGAAAATGATGGTGTGGGAGGGAGCTCTGCGAAAATCACTTTTCGCTGTTCTCTGTGCAAAAAGCAGTTTGATTCAAAGTTCAATCTGAAAACACATGCGTGTGCATACAGGAGAAAAACCATTTGGTTGTTCTAACTGTGGGAATGCAAATCTCCTGCGACAGGCTAATCCATACAGGGGAGAAACCATTTGTTTGTGATATTTGTGGTAAAAGATTTAGTCAGAGTTCTGCTCTCACAACACACAAACCACCGT